CGAGAAAATAATAAACAGCGAGGGAAAGCTAGAAAGATTCGTGACTTATACATTACGTTTTGGATCATGTTCGATGGCTTTAAATCTCCTCGTATAGTATGAAGATATTTTTCTACAAACATTGTTTTATTAATATATTTCCGTTTATTAAAAAAATCATTAATGGCATGATGACATTCGTTCGGAATGTATAATAATATGCTTTTCGAATGCATAACATTACGCAATTAATTGAGTTTTTCTTCATCTTTTCGTGATGGAAACTGCGCGGTAATCTAGAATTTGATTAATAGTTCGGCGGATATTATTACGAAGAGATTTGCATATTATTCGATTAATTATGTAATCGCCACCATCGGAAAAAAGCTCTTCCAAGGATAATCTTCCAGCTGCGATCTTAAAACATGTGGATCCTTTTAATCTTCATCGCGCGGGGTAAATCTGGAAGCAAATAAAATTAATCGCTGCTGATTTATATCACGAATTTCATATAATTTAATACATCATTCCATCTCAACGGGTAACAAATTCAATCAGACATGTTAACATCATCGTTTGCTTGGCGTGTTTCTAATAATTTAATTTCGCAGATCGCCTATTTCATTTGATTACTTTCGGCGTTATTACCTTACATGAGGTTCGAATAAACCGCCGATAAGCTTAAGGTTTGCGACGCTGCACGCTTCTAAAAAAGGCAACTTTGCATGATCACTGATAAAAATACAACTGTGGACTTCCTTCGAACTCGCTAGATTACAATCGACCGCGGTAGTCGTGACTAGCGGCACTATCATTCGAGCTTCCCGCGGAAGCCAACTAATATCACGACATTTTCAAGCAAGGTCTCACCGATATCGGTGCCGTCAGAATCATCACGTGTATTTGCAACTTTCCAAATTTAAATTGAACAAAACTCTATGAAGCTCACGCGCCATTGTGTTATCACTCTCTTATGTTATACCAGTACTTGCCATCGTATTTAAATAGAACCATGTTACCGTTTCGTGATTATAACTTTGTCGAATTTACATTATAGCTCGTATTAACATACTTCTCTGTGCATTTTGATAAGTTAAACAAGTTAAACAAGTTAAACAAGTGCTAAAAGATGAATGAGTTTAAGTAAGTCAATTAATCAATCATTTTAATTCGTTTCGCTCAACTTTATCCTTGCGTTTCTTTCGTAATTTTAAAAATTATGATTGAGCTTTTAAGCTTAACAAAAATAAAAGTAGCTAAGCGCGAATTGGATCAATAATTTTATTCCTAAGTGCATATATCGTATAATCACGCTCTTTTTTTTTTTACAGCCATCCTTTTTATGATACCGGCACTTCACAATCGTGATATCGATCGCAAATTCTAGTTTGTTGTTCTTTCCTTGCTGCTACAGCTACTTAGAATGAAGCAAAGTGATCGTGACTACTGGCATTATTACTGAAAGGTCCTGTAGAAAGAGCGCTAATATCTCTGGTTCTCAGGCAAGGTCTTCTCCATGTCGGTTCCTTGGAAACAATTACGCCCCGTGGGTTATAATAACGAACCGTTCCTCTAGAATCGTACGTACTTGTGTATACGTGACGTGCGCACAAACGCACATGTACATACACGCGTAGATGAGCTGTGCTTTTATCGCGAGCGTGAGCATCGAGTGCGTACTACAAAGACGGATGGCCTCGTAAATCTATTGGCAGCGCGCATTCCCTCGTTTTCGCATTTTACTTTCTTCTTTTCTAACACGGCGAGGGCTTCTAAAGCCCACTCACCTCGAGATTTATCGCCTAACGCCAAAATGCCGATGGCGAACTAAAGCGCTCTAGAAAGGCATACCATCACTATTCCATTTTCTCAACAGCTATTCGCAACGATAAAAAAATATGTACCTATTCTGTAACAAAGGGATTTATTGCAATCAACAGCAAGATGTGTATACACAAAGTAAATAGGAGGTATACAAATAATAAAAAAAAAAAAACTTTGATTAACAAATGTATAAATATCAAAATCTCAGAGATTAACATAATAAACTAGAAATATTACGAAGATATCCTTGAGGGAAGAACAATGATCGAGAACGATTGTCATTGAAACGATAATGTCACTTTCATTCCGTCAACAATCGCCCAGAGTACTTACTGTATATTATTTGCGTGATATTAACTATGAAGGGATTATTGCAGTATTGCAAAAGTTCTTGACATTATCAAACAAATGTATACGATACATAACGCTCTAATCGTCTTAGCAAGCCTAGAGATAATAAAGCAAAGCAGCTAATTCGTGTAAGACTAAAGGGTTACGCAAGTTTTACGGTATTCAGTGCCTATCCACACCTTTCCAACTTGTACTATAAGCTGGAACTGTCGTGTTATTTACACTCGCGTGTCGTACGGTGCTCAATTGTCTCAATAATTGTGGAGCAATGCAGACCATTTCGGCTACATCGTTTGCGACATCAGTCAACCGTTCATCTTTTTCGTGCAAATTTCAGTGCGGCCAAACGGTGTAATTTGCCTCGTGTCGTTTTTACGCTTTCCTACTTAATGTACTTCGTCATGAACACCCTAACAAACAGATCGTTGCGCGACGATGATGTATTATTGGCGTAATAATGTGGGCCAGCTGTCAAAAGTAACGAACGCGCATCTTCTGCCCCTTCGAGAATGGCGAAATTGATAGAATTGCGTTTCTGTGATGGTATACCTGTCATATGCCATGTGTGGAGCGTGCACGGCATCGCATGTTGGCGACAATTTTCGGAAAACGCCATAAGTAGGAGACCCTTCTCGTAGTTCCTCCTCCACCCTGAAAGATAATTGTGCAAATGTTCATCAGAGCTGCATCTGACGAAGTCATTGTTAGAAAGAGGTGAAAAGTATAGATTAAAAAGATTCAAAACCATGATAGCTTTTCTTAATATAATTTTAAGAAAATATGACAAATGTGTATATATTAATATTGTATAATTGTACATTATTTATTATTAATACTTTATTAATTATGTCTTTCGCGAGTCAGTTCAATATATATCAGTTTAATATCAAACAACACGAAACATTTTAGGAAATTGATCCCGTTCAACAGAACGTTTATTTTACAAATGTTCAAAGTTTTCTTTCGTGCTGATTGTATTATACTTTTAAATAGGAACAACAGTCCTAATCTCAATAAAGAAAAACTCAATTCAGTTGTAAAATAAATTTTGCTAAACATAGATATAGCAATATATTGTCAATGATCTTAGTTTTAATTTATACTGATTCCTTTTTATTTAACACACACACACACACTGTAGAATAAAATCATCTCGGTTCTCTCGCTATTTTGCTTTTCTACGGCTCACTCGTAGGGCCCAGACACATTCTTGTCCATCGCGTTCCGACCCCCATATTTTCACGAACACGCACTCCGTAGAATCTTCACGTCGATGCTGTCGACGGTGGAAAGATAAATCCTCCCTCTCGCTTCTCGGTTCGCTTTCTCAAGCTGACACTCGCGAATTAACAGATCGCACAGTGGCAATTAAACCCCCCAAAAAGGATTCGAGCACTCCACGGCACGACGGTTCCCATGGTTCCTCGATAGTGTCCGCGTGCGGGAAGAGAACGGCGGGCGGTAATAAAAGAACACGAACGAGATGCTCGCGAGGGGGATGAGGCACGAGTATCGTCGACAACCCCAGCGCGGCGTAGTGCACACGAGAAAGATCCCCTGCGTTGCGGCGGGGTCGTGAGAGACCGTTGTAAAAAAAAGAAGTGAAAACTAAGAGAGGAAGAAACGACGGTGGACCTGGCGAAGATGCTACGTCGGTGCGCAGAGGGCAATATTTACGAGAGGGGTTGGGTTCAGCCACGGAACGTAATTGCACCGGCTGGGGTACCCTGATTTATTGGGTTATTACCGATCTCGGCGCAAGAAGAACGCGTGGTGTATGGGCATCTTCGCCCGCGCCCTGGTCCTTCGAGACCTTACAAAATGGCGGGAAAGAATATTGTTGAAACGTATATACGTATTCTACGAACGTCATGACACTGGTCACAATGGCGACATAACAAAATTGATGGAAGCTTATTTAAAAATTTACAGAAGAGACTCCTACAAAGAAATTATGACGTTTCTTCAAAAAGTTGGATATATGTGACCATATAAATTTAATGTTACCAGAGTAAAAATGTCAAGAGATTCATAAATTGCATTTTGATGTACAAATAAAAATCATAGCAAGAGGAAACCTAAAAGTTGGCATGTGCTATTTAGATCTTTATGGTGCAGTTCTTCGAAGTGTTGGGTACACACGATCGTATAAATTTAATTTTACCAAAGGAAAAGTGTCAAAAGATATAATATTTCGATAAATAAAAGTCAATAAAAAGAAACACCGATTGACACTGCGCTGCTTACATCTTTATAACTTGTAATACAGCGACAGTTATTACACTAAGTGATCAAAATTACAGGGCCATTAAATCACAATGTGACATTTATTACTTTCATGTAATACCATATCATTTAACTGCCAATAGTGTTCTTCCTCGATCATGCGCTATGTATTTTTCATGTTTAGTTAATCGGCCTCCAGTTAGCTAAACTGTATAATAACGATGATCGTTGGATTGCAAATAAAATATAGCAATGTGACGATAAGTCGCCATGTCTGTATGCGAATATGAAATGTAACGATGTAAACATAATCGTATTTCTCACATGTAGCCCTAAGTTATTGAAATTTTAAACATCGTTAAATTCATAATGCCAAATTATACTCAACTTGAGTTATTTTTCATAATTTCTGTAGGTCGTCACTGCTCCTATTCTCAATAAGTCTTTAATTTTAATTAACTACAACAATGAGATAAAACAGTTTAACTTAAGAAATGTATTTAATTTAACTTAAAGTTTAGTTTCTTATTTACCAAATGCACATATATTAATATGGACGACGTTTACTAAGCAATTCAACTACAGAAATTGATTGATTTACATTTTGACACACATAGAAGTTAAATATAACAAAATGTTATTTAACCTAAGAAATTAGCTTACTGTTGCTCTTTTAATATCTAACAGTAGATAACTTAGACAGATAATCAATAATCATTAATTTTCTTTTTCTTCATGTTTCATGTGTTGATGTATTGAACAATAATAACGAGTTACAAGCCAAAGGCTTTCTTTGGTATGTCTATTCCATCACCTCTCTCGAAAGGACTGGATCGACGTATAAAAGAATGGAACAAAGTGCAGTGCTACGTCTACCTAACATCAAATCTCGCATTGCAGCGCGTACGCCTTCACTTTTACGCGTGGCAAATAAAACCAAGAGCCAGTCGACATCAAAATTATACGTATAGATGGCATTGATATATAGCCGAGCGGGTTTTGATAGACCCGACGGCCCTCGCGGCCGAGTTATAATCGCGCCGCGCATCGTATCGTTTTCTCGCCGAGCCGGAATCCTCCATTTTGAAACGCGCCATGGTAATGTTAATGCCGGTGTTCGTATACTGCAGAAAGGATCAGCGGGATCATTGGATTTCAACTCCTTCTCAAATCATAATTATTATTTCCTATGAATATATAATATTGCGCGCGCGTTGTGTTCTTTAATTGCATATTTTTTAACATTGAATTTATTCACTTTGCCTTATTCAAGCTCAACTTATATGATGAAACACTTGTTTAGTGTATAAGAATAGATTAATAATTCATTGCATACAATTAACGTGCGAATTTTTGCATTTATTATTTTACTTACTATTTAGCATAAGAATTATGTATTAATATCGACACTAAACCATATTTAATTCTATAACACACGTATCTGCATTCGAATCTCTATCGTGTGATCCACAAAGTATTAAAATACGACGTCATGCTTCGCGTGCCGCAAAACGATAGCCATAAATATATTGTATAATTAATTGAGTGCTAGTTAATTACTTTCCTGGGATCGTAATGAACACAGACTGTCGTCCAATTTGCTAATAGGCGTTCTTATAGGTTTCTGTTTAATCGTTGAAAATATTCTCGTGCATGTTTTGCGTATGCAAGTAAACATGATTTCATCCGATTCATATTGTTAGCTTTATTTCGAGTTGTAATTAGTATTACTGGTTATCCGACTTATAACTAGTTGAACTTAAATAATTATATATTAGAGTTAAAGTCTTAATTTTAGTAAATATATACATCGACTACAGCAGACTGCAATAAGTGCATACATTTATTGACTTAATACTTCGACTATGATATAATACGCTTAAATATACAAGTAAATCTGTTAGAACATTTTCATCCATAATGTAAGGGACGATTTTTTTAAGGCGTCAATTTACGAATTCCAAAACGAAGTTTGGCTTTTTGCCCAGCACGACCGCGAGTCGGGAATGGGTAGAAGTAACCTCGGCCTCAGGATATAAATCTTCCGCCGACAGATGCACCGCCCTCGACGTTCTGCATCGACCAACCAACCGACCAGAATTTCTGAGGGTAACGCCCTGAAAAACCAGACTCGCCTTGGATACCTATTGCATTTGCATGTCATTTCGAAGAAAACTATACCCCGTGAGTAACACTAAGAGTGAACAAGAAATGCAATAAAATTGCCCGACGTATAGCCTTTAGTCATTTTTTCTCAATAAAGCTTATTATTTTACATATGTACGTACGATATACACATTTGATTTAATATCTCTATTCTTTAACGAACGTAATATCGAAATTCATTCTTTATTGCAAAATTGGTAAAATTTTTCATTTACATTTACAACATTTCTATTAACCCTTCGATGCTACACAATACATTCTAAAAAGCAAGAAATATTTTAAAACATTCTAACAATGATGTAGCAACGTTACGCCGCAGCAACGTTAAATTCGCTTTTGATGATTATTTTCACGTGGATATTGTATAAAAGTATTATAAAAATATACATAAAAATAAACATATTGTAACAAATTTTTCTTTAAACCATATTAACGAATTTAATGGTAACAATACAAATATATGTATCTTTATTGATAAAAATGTAAAGCATATAAAGTAAGGAAACTTTTGATATACCGTATGAGAGTGGCAATCCGAAGGGGAATAAAATTCGATAAAAAATTGAAGATGAATCTTGTGTATCCAACCGTGCAGAGGAATGCTGCTGTAAAGAATGCAATAAAGTGCCATGATAATGAATAATTGACAAGCAATTCCGCGATGCGGCGAGTTTTTTTTCTACGAATTTTTAATAGAATTAATAAAATGAACGTGGACACACACACACACACACACACATACACACATAAGAGGAAATTAACCTCAGGAACAACACGTGTCGCGTGATTCGTGAATTCCCCGCTGTTGGTTTCTAGCTTTCGTTGTACATACTTGCATTCGTGACGATTCGCACCGTCGGCGAGTACGTAGCATGCGCTCCTATACGCAACGATAGATCTTGGAACTGTACATACGTGCGCCTTTCGGTTACATGCACACCAACATATGTACGAGTTTTCCTCCCTCGAGGATACACGGATGCTAGCTTGTCACGCGATTCTTCAAGAATCGCCTTGAATCCCGCTATTACTTCGAGAACTTGAGAAATTTTCAAAAAACTACTACTCCAAAAAAAATATTTATACGATTCTTCACGTATTGAGACATTAAGATAAGTGGATTCTTTAATATTTAAGCATATATTAAAAATAATAAAATATTTATATGGATATTGTATGTATAAAATGTAGTAAAAACAGTGCAACAGTCAATTAATTATTTTAAACATATTGAGGTTTACGATAATTTAAATAATATG